TTTTTTTTTTTTTTTTTTTTTTTTCTTTCCTGGCGAATTGAGGTCTTGTTTGCGAAGGCAAAAAATGTTTCTGTGTGTTGAGCAGATGTTTTAAGTTTGGGATTTTCTGAAAAGAGGCTTTCATGGAACACATTTTATTTCCACTGCAGGGACTGCATATGGCTTGAAATCGATGTGTGTGTGTGAATATTCGGGGTTGTTCCCGTCCTGATTTGCAGCCAGGTGGACTGAGAGGGTCCCTAAGTAGGGATCGTGCGAAAGGATGGCTTGAATTCTCTTAAAAAGTTGGTAGAAAATTCGGCTCAGATCTAAGCAAGGGGTTGCATGGTTTGCCTCTGGTATGTGGATTAAAATATCCGCCGTGTGTCAGGGTCTGTGCTATAATTAGGGCTCCGGCAGCAGCAGGATGGCTGGGGTGTGTGGCGTGGTGTGTGCATGCAGGGCTGCATGCGTGGGGGTCGTGTGGGGACCCCCGTGCACACCCGTCTCGGGTCTGTGGCACCAGCAAAACCTGTCCTCTGGCGTTTCCCTCTCGGAAATTGGCCTTTTTAAAAGCAGAACCCAGAAAGGCTTCTTTTGTTCCTTTATTTTAATTGATTTTCTTTTCCTTTATTTTTTTCTTCTTTAAAATCCCATTCCGCAACCAAAGAGAAACGATCATATCTGACAGATGAGTTACAATTACTCACACACACCCCCCCCCCCCCCCCCAAAAAAAAAAAAAAAAAAGCAAAGTCAAGGTTATCAAAACCCCCCGCAAACTTATCTTCACAAAGCGCCTTCAACGTCCACGCCAAGAGAGGTTTTGGTGGGAGTTAACCCGAAAGAAAGATTATATCGGTTTGGATTCGTAATTGGGGCGGAAATAACGGATTAAATAAATAAAGATAAAGCTTTTCTTTCGCTTCAGATGTTACATTTAAAATGGGTGCGCGGAGAAAGACATGGTTTCCCAGATTTTCTATTAATTTCTTTTGCGTTTTAAGGGCGTTTCATGTCGTTTGCAGCGTTTTGCAATGGTCAGGTCCAATTTGGGGTGGATTTTGTTTGCTTCTGTTTCGGTTGCGTCCTTTTAAAACCTTTTATACCTTCGGTTTTCGTTTATGTTGAACCCGATTTTTTTTATTCTTGCAGAAGGTAAGAGACCTTTACCCTGTAATCCAAGCATTTGGGGGGAGATAGGGTTTCCAAGGGGATTTCCAGGGCTTGGTGGCATTCAAGGGTTTCTGCAAAAAGTGGGACCATGTCACACCAGCACATTTTGAAGGTGCCTTTGGCTAGATCAAGGTGTTGTGGTTTGGGGGCTTTATTTTTTGATTTTTTCTCCTTCGAATTTCCTGAATG